GAACGTTGAAACCCTTGGATTTAATATTCGACGAAGTATCGATTAACTGCAGCCTACTTGAATCGAATAGCAATTCAATGATCTTTATGGAATCAATACCTAGTAGGGATATGGGAACATCAACAGAGATGAACATCGTCGATTATTTAGGTTGATCGTTAGCTGTAGTGTACTGTAGATAGGGATGACAGAGCCATTCGCAGCGCGTGGTCGAAGCTATCAGATGAAACGACGGAAACTTTGGTACCTGTGGCCACTAGGTACCTGGCGTTAGTGCGAAAATCGTGCAAGTAAAATGAACGAGCAACCTGACGTGTGAGGAAGGAGACAGGTCAAAATGCAGTAACCTGCACCTCGGAGTCCCAATACATTACAACTATCCACCATTTCGAAGCGTTGTTGCGAGAATCAGCTCATTAATAACAGCATAGCAACATAATAAAAATGGTAATAGATTAATAATAGACACACTGTAATTGACCTCTTTGAATAAAACGTCAGATCACCAATTTTTAGCGGGAGGCTAATATAGTGACTCTACTTTTATGAAGCGAACGCGATTGGTTGAATAGAAAAATTAGTTATTATAACCAATTCTACCAGTGATCAGACGGTACATATACCATCATGCTCGAAAAAGCGTGTTCCTCAACATTAGAAGCTGTTTGTAGAAGTGGCTTCCGTTGACTTATGTAAGGCTTTAGACAATGTTCCACACAACTAACAGTTATCTAAGTTAACTGATTTCAGGTCACAAGTAATTTAATTAAAAGGATAAATAATTTCCTAGCTTGCCTCCAAAAAAGGCTGTGTTAATTTTAATTTCTTAGGCTGGGAAACGTTTAGTAATAGTGTGCTCTAGGATATACTTTTGGGACTACTGATATTCTTTCTGCAAGAGTTGAAATCCGCCGCATAGTTACCAGATTTTTTGGACCGTTATTTCATTACGCAGATCCTTTAGCCATGTCGATGCTAAGAAATTTTTCATTCCTTATACAGTGCTGTTTCGTTCAAGTACTGCGATACAATCAGTTATCTTCGCTTCAAAAGTACTCGGTGTGCCGTTGGAGAACATTCCGGAAAAACCAACAAAGCGGCTGTATGACGATCGAATGTTTAAATTAAACCTAATTACACTGTCATATGCAAGGACTAGAGGTGACTTGATCACAGCTTTTAAATTACTTATTAATAAATGTATACATGACCTGCCCTCATTTTTATTGTCTTGATAAACAGAGAATTTAAGAAAAAAATAAATATTTATAAGCAAATTAATTATCATTTCACTATCGACTCTCCCATCGAATCATAAATGAATGTAAAGATGTCAAGGAAATTCAAATTTTTTGTCCGTAACTCTTTTATGATCGAGAATCCTCAAGTCAGAAATAAAAGAGAATGAATATATATTTGGAGGATATTTGATATGTCGAGAAGTATATGATTAAACTAGCAAGTTGTAAAAAGTGACGCGTAGCACGACAAAATCAACTATGATCTGATTTGTAAGCACGGTCTAGCGCATTCAGCTAGAGCATGTCTGCTAAAACTGATGACTTCGGTATCAACTTCTAAGACTCACTGAACTATTTATTTAGGTGATTTATTTACCGCTACGAATAAAACTCATTAACTCAACATGTGAGTTCAGTTCCATCTGTCGAAACATATTAAAGAAATTTAAACCAGCTGAGAGATAACAACTGTCGGAACGAATACGGGCCACTAAGTCTCCGGTTCCGTCTATGCTTAAACTGAAGCCACAGTATTCTAGCACCTTTTTGATGCCTACACTGGTTCCGTTTAAAAAAAAAACTTATTTTTTTACAAGTTAGTTTAAACCCGGAGGTATTAGATATCCGATACAGCTGAACACAAATGCCCGTTAAGTAAAGACTTGCCTAAATCTATCTATTAAAATCCTCCTTTAGATTGAAGATTGAATGTAGCGGTTTCAAGTATTTCGTTACAAACTCAATATATTGAGCTTAAAGTTCCCTCTCGTTAACTGTGAGTTTAAATCCAAAGTATGAAATGTAAGGTCTCTGATAAAATATCTGTCTGGTTACATTTTCTTCTCTTTACCTATATTTTGTGGATAATAGTTATGTTGTACTCAGCTGGAAAATTTTATAAAACCAGACATAGAATCGATATTGCTCAATATAAAAACCCATGAATTATGCGTTTTTCAGTGGCTATTTTCTTCATCATACATATTTGTTGAAAAAGCAATACTTGCAATATGACATATAGTGTTCACTCATTTCGGTAACATCTCATATCGATTAAGTACAATATTTTTGGAAACATGATTATCAGATATTTCATTCTTTACCACTAGTATTAATCGATGGATTATAGACATGTGGCATGTACTGGACTGTCTGATATCACAAAAGTTACCGAAAAACAGTTCCCAGTCCAAGTCTAACTTCTTGATCTTTTATGCAACGAAATGTTTCTAAAAGCTATTTTGAAAATTTTCCTATGGATTTCATCAGTCAATACCCAGGGTCATTTATAGAGATTATAAAAGCAGAATGTTGCCGTGCTGTGTGATGCGTAAGTTACTTCCTCATTTCAGTATTGAATGTAAGACATGGTTTCCTTTTGGAAAGAACTATCAAGATCCACTGGTGACTTCTAGAGTTTTGATCATGATTACTAAGTTTTTACTGCTGCTTTCCTGATTAACCGAGGATCCTACCAGACTTAAAATAAAAATCGATTTCACAACCTTCAGCGTTTTGTCAGTCCTTAAGCAAATACATATTTTCATCCTTTGTCTAAACTAAAAACGTCAGTCAGTCAGTCAGATGCCACATAGAACTTGGTACGTAAGTACATCAGTACATGTTGCCATACCACATCGGTTGGAGATATAATTGTCAATTCAAATCCAATAGTAGATGAGGTAGTAAAGTTATTAGAAGTAATCGGAGAGGTTAGGATTAGAAGATATTATTCAAGAAGTATGATTCAATGAGAAAAGTCTGGAAAGACAAAACTAGAGGTGTTGAAGGATCCAAAAGATTAGGGTTTGAGAGAACACAAAGAATAAATGCACCGGCGCCATTGCAAACGGTTTTGAGCCGTGTCATTCAAGGTCTCTAACCATCGATTATTATCATCTCGCGGACCCCAAGCGGGTAGTCCATTCCCACCGACATGACTCAGTTCACTTGCCAGTGACTTCATGGATTTGTGTCACATTTCGGTTTGACCGCCCCTAGGTCTCATCCAACCTACTACTGCACCACAAAACATGGCTCGTCGAGGCAATCGGTGGTTGGGCATTCGTAACACATGTCCAAACCACCTCAACTGATGAAGTGTCAATACTTCGTCAATTGATCTACCATCCTTACCTAGTACTCGCTTCCTAATAACAGCGTTGCTCACTTGGGTGTCCCAGGATACACGAGCAATGCTTCTAAGACATCTATGATCGAAAACCAGTACCCTACGAATATCTTCTACTCTGACTGGCCATGTTTCACAGCCATAAAGCAAGACGGAGCGAACTGCCGCAAAGTAGACTCGACCTTTGATTAGCAAACGGGTATCTCGCCTGCACCACAGGTCACGCAACTTGGCAAAAGCCAATCGATCTTTCTGTATCAGTGCTGAGATTTTGTCAGTCACCAGGCCATCAGCACTGATGAGACTCCTGAGATAAGTGAAGTGGTCTACATGTTCGACCAATTCACTCCCTATCACTAGTTCAGGTGCCGATGCAACCCAGTCTTGAAGCAACATTTCGCATTTCGAGGGGAAAACCGCATCCCGAACATGCTTGCATTGTTGCTTAGGGTGGCCAGAAGACTGCATTTTGTCAGCGTCTTCACCAAGTAGGACTATGTCATCGGCATATTCTAAGTCCATAAGCGAGCCACCTGGTAGAAGGTCTACTCCTGAAAATTCAGACAATGATAAGGTTATTTCGAAGAGCATGTCTGTGATAAAATTAAACAAGAATGGAGAAAGTGGACATCCCTGACGGACACCACTTGAAGTAAAGAATTCCGGTGACAGTTCGCCATAAGCTCTCACTCGACCAGTGGTGTTCGAGTAGAGAGCTTTAATGAGGTTGATGTACTTCTTCGGTACACCTTTCAATGACAGACACTGCCACAGAACCTCACGATCCACTGAGTCGAATGCCGCCTTAAGGTCCAGGAACACAACTATTGTAGGACGCCTAAATGTGTGTCTGTGTTCCAGGACCGGTCGCAGTGTGTAGCTGGAGGCCAGTTGAACTGATCCCTAAAGTGTTCTGCCCATCGGTCCAGTCTCCTGGATAGCGAATGGATAATAAGACCATCCTTTTCCGAAATAGTCTCACTCACATTGGGGTTCCTAATACCAGTTTCCTTGATGAGTCTAAATAGTTGCCTACTGTTGCCGACCGTAGCTGCTACCTTGACGTGGTGGTCGGGCTTGCCTATCGTGATGACCCAACCGAGCTATACTGGCTGGAACATATGTTCCTGCAGGTCCTACCATGCCAGGCAGGTCGATTGGAGAACGATGAGACTAAAAGCAGCTACTCAAGGTCTGAGGGCGAAGTCGTACTGCTGACTGCAGAGGGGTGTGACAGCAGTAAGGTGTTTCCCTCGGACAACCAGCATCTGCAGCGATGCTGCCTTCTCACAAGGAAGGAAGGGTTAGAAAAGGTCGACCCTAAAACTGTCACACCTCCCCTACCTCACGGATTTCCGTCTCCGGCGGTAAGGGTGCCCACTAAGGGCTTTTAAGAGCGGAGCTAATCCTCTAAATACCTTTCATAAAAAGGCCGTGCGTGACCGGCCTGAAGCAGTTGTCCCTTGGGCTCTGCGGTCACGCACCAACACTAATCTACCTTCCTTTTCAGGTCCCTCAAGAAACAACCTTCCACGGTATGGGCAGCCTGGAAGTGACAACCGCCCTCATACCCGTAACAGTACGCGAGACCAAATTGGTCAAAATCAAATCCTTTCTACACCCCCTAATGTCTCTCTTATCTCTACGACTAACTCTAATCGCACTCCCTTTTCTCACTGCACCGCTAATGCAGACGAAGTGAGATCACGAAACGTCGTTCCTGGTCTCTTGAAATCCCGTTCCAGACTACATGTTGGAGCTTTTAATGTACGGACATTGTGTCAAATAGGGCAACAGGCATCATTAGCTAGGACTTTAGAAACTCGTGCCATCGATGTATGTTGTGTCTCGGAAACGCGCATACACGATCCTAGTAAAGTCATTAACCTGATTCCACCTTGTCAAAACGAAGAAGCAGCTCGATTCACTCTTCGTGTATCCGGTAGCCCTGATGCTGCTTCCAGGGGTCTTGCTGGCGTAGGCATAGCGTTGAGTCCTAGGGCAGAATTATCTCTCCTAGACTGGATCCCAGTAGATAGTCGCTTGTGCGCTGTCCGACTAAACGGGACAGTAAGGACTCGTAAGGATAGGGACACTCGCCGTTGCCTCTTCGTCATATCTGCCTATGCCCCCACTGACTGCAGTGTAGACGAGGTTAAAGACGAGTTTTTCAGAAAGCTTTCGGACCTCCTCCAAAACGCTAGGCGCTCTGATATAGTAATAATGGCTGGCGACTTCAATGCTCAAGTAGGTAGACTAGGTGAAAAGGAAAGACATCTTGATGGATGTTATGGTGTAGCGACTGAGAGAACAGACAATGGCGACCGTCTGTTGCAACTATGCTCAGATAACCGCCTATTCTTAGCGAACACCAACTTTAGGCATAAGGAAAACATCTGTTGACCTGGCGACCCTCGAAGTCGTCTCAACGTTGGACTCAACTAGATCACATCGCCATCAGCCACCGATGGAGGGGCTCGATAGAAGACTGTCGCTCGTTCTGGGGCACATGTTTGCATTCAGATCATGCTCTAGTGCGAGCTCGTATCTGTTTGAGGCTTACTGGACGTAGGAAAGACACCGTATGGAAGCCTCTTAGGGTTTTATTTAATGATAATCAAACTAAGAAAATATTTCAGGAGCAACTAGAAAGAGATTTAAGCAACCATGTAAGTGATTCCCATCCAGAAGCAGGTTGGTATGATATCAAAAATGCTGTGGAACCAGCAGTGCTATCTGCTAGTAAGGTAAACCATGAGGCTAGGATGAAGCCGTGGATATCAGTCGCATCTACCTAAGTCCCCCTAGTCTTAATGACGTTGAGAAAGCGTTAGTAAATCTTAAACGAGGACGAGCTCCAGGTCCTGATAGACTGACCTCTGAGATATTTTAGGATGGTGGTCCAGTTTTAGCAGCTAGGTTGACGGAGATCTTAGGTAGAATCTGGGAACTGGACGTAATCCCATCCGAGTGGTCTCAATCACTGATTGTCCCAATCTATAAGAAAGGACAAAAGTCTTCTTGTGACAATCACAGGGGAATAAGTCTAACTAATATAGCATCTAAAATATTGGCTTCAATAATACTTCGACGCTTAACGAAAGCTCGTGAAGAGCAGACTCGAGAAAACCAGGCTGGTTTCAGACCTGGACGCGGTTGTATAGACCACATCTTCGCACTACGACAGGTCCTGGAACACAGACACACATTTAGGCGTCCTACAATAGTTGTGTTCCTGGACCTTAAGGCGGCATTTGACTCAGTGGATCGTGAGGTTCTGTGGCAGTGTCTGTCATTGAAAGGTGTAACAAAGAAGTACATTAACCTTATACAAGCCCTTTACTCGAACACCACTGGTCGAGTGAGAGCTTATGGCGAACTGTCACCGGAATTCTTTACCTCAAGTGGCGTCCGTCAGGGATGTCCACTTTCTCCATTCTTGTTTAATTTTATCATAGACATGCTCCTAGAAATAACTTTATCCTCATCTGAATTTTCAGGAGTAGACCTTCTACCAGGTGGCTCGCTTATGGACTTAGAATATGCCGATGACATAGTCCTACTTGGTGAAGACGCTGACAAAATGCAGCGTCTTCTGACTACCCTAAGCAACAATGCAAGCATGTTCGGGATGCGGTTTTCCCCCTCGAAATGCGAAATGTTGCTTCAAGACTGGGTTGCATCGGCACATGAACTAGTGATAGGGAGTGAAGTAGTTGAGCGTGTAGACCGCTTCACTTATCTTGGGAGTCTCATCAGTGCTGATGGCCTGGTGACTGACGGAATCTCAGCTCGGATACAGAAAGCTCGATTGGCTTTTGCCAACCTGCGTCACTTATGGCGTAGGCGTGATATCCGTTCGCTAACCAAAGGACGAGTGTACTGTGCAGCAGTTCGCTCCCTTCTCCTATATGGCTGTGAAACATGGCCAGTGAGAGTAGAAGATATTCGTAGGTTACTGGTTTTCGATCATAGGTGTCTTCGAAGCATTGCTTGTATACCGTGGGACAACCGAGTAAGCAATGCTGTCGTTAGGAAACGGGTGCTAGGCAAGGATGGTAGATCAATAGATGAAGTGGTGAAACTTCATCAGTTGAGGTGGTTGGGACATGTGTTGCGTATGCGGAACCACCGACTGCCTCGACGAACTTTGTTTTGTAGTGTAGGAGTAGGTTGGAAGAAAGCTAGGGGCGGCTAGACCAAAACATGGCAGAAATCCATGAAGTCATTGACTAGTGGACTGAGCCATGTCGGTAATTGTCGACTACCTGGTTGGGATCCGCGAGATGATAATAATCGATGGTTAGAGACCTTGAATGACATGGCTCAAAATCGTTCGCAATGGCGCCGGTGCATTTATTCTTCGTGTTCTCTCAAACCCTAATCTTTTGGATTCTTCAAAACCTCTAGTTTCGACTCTAAACTTTTCTCACTGAATCATACTTCTTGAATAATATCTTCTAACCCTAACCTCTCCGATTACTTCTGATTCCCTTACTACCTCTACTACTATTGGATTTGAATTGACAATTGTATCTCTGTGCTGATGTGGTGTGGCAACATGAACTGATGTACTTACGTACCAAGTTCTATGTGGCATCTGACTGACTGACTGACTGTTGCCTATCGCCGCTGCCTTTTCTATCGCTTTTGCTTTCTCCACCCACCACTGTTCGCGGTCGTTACGTGAGCTTTTTATCAGCCTACATCTAAGCTGACTCCGCTCCTCAGAGCCAGGCGGGATGAGTTTTCGAGCATCCATCAGTTCGGTAGATGCTACTGAGATCCACGGCTTCATCCTAGCCTTATGGTTTACCTTACTTGCAGTTATCAGTGCTGTTTCCACAGCCTTTTGGATATCATTCCAACCTGCTTCCGGATCGGAATAGCTTACATGGTTGCTTAAATCTCTTTCTAGTTGTTCCTGGAATATATTCTTCGCTTTATTATCATTAAGTAAAACCTTAAGAGGCTTCCTTGCGGTGTCTTTCCTACGTCCAGTAAGCCTCAAACAAATACGTGCTCGCACTAGGGCATGATCCGAATCTAAACATGTGCTCCGAAACGAGCGACAGTCCTCTATCGAGCCCCTCCATCGGTGGCTGATGGCGATGTGATCTAGTTGTGACGCCAGGTCAACAGATGTTTTTCCCTATGCCTAAAGTTAGTGTTTGCTAAGAATAGGCGGTTATCTGAGCATAGTTGCGACAGACGGTCGCCATTGTCTGTTCTCTGAGCTGCGACACCATAACATCCACCTAGGTATCTTTCATTTTCACTTGGTCCACCTACTTGAGCATTAAAGTCACCAGCCATTATTACTATATCAGAGTGCCTAGCGTTTTGGAGGAGGTCCGAAAGCCTTCTGTAAAACTCGTCTTTCACCTCGTCTGAACTGTAGTCAGTGGGGGCATAGGCAGATACGACGAACAGGCAACGGCGAGTGTCCCTATCTTTACGAGTCCTTACTGTCCCGTTTAGTCAGACTATCTACTGGGATCCAGTCTAGGAGAGATTGTTCAGCTCTACGACTCAATGCTATGCCTACGCCAGCAAGACCCCTGGAAGCAGCATCAGGGCTTCCAGATACACGAAGAGTAAATTGAGCTGCTTCTTTATTTTGACAAGGTGAAATCAGATTAATAATTTTATTAGGATCATGTATGCGCGTTTCCGAGACACAGCATACATCTTTGGCACGAGATTCTAGAGTCCTAGCTAAGGAAGCCTGTTACCCTATTTGACATAGGGTCCAAACATTAAAAGCTCCTATATGTAATTTAGTGCGGGGTTTCAGGAGACCAGGAATAACGCTTCGTGAACTCGCATCGTTTGCATTATCGTGTAGTGAGATAAAGGAATGTGAGTAGAGTTAGTTGTGGAGAGAAGAGATGTATGTGTGGGTGTAGGAAGGATTTGATTTCGACCAGATTGGTCTCTCGTGCTGTTACGGGTATGAGGGCGGTTGTCACTTCCCGGGTGCCCACACCGTGGAAGTTTGTTTCTTGAGGGACCTGAAAAGGAAGATAGATTAGTGTTGGTCTTGGAGACCTGGGAGCGTGACTGCAGAGTCCAAGGGACAACTGCTCGAGGCCGGTCACGCACGGCCTTTTTATGAAAGGTTTTTTGAGTATTAGCTCCGCTCTTAAAAGCCCTTAGTGGGCACCCTTACCGCCGGAGACGGAAATCCGTGAGGTAGGGGAGGTGTGACATTTTTAGGGCCGACCTTTTCTAACCCTTCCTTCCTTGTGAGAAGGCAGCATCGCTGCAGATGCTGGTTGTCCGAGGGAAACACCTTACTGCTGTCACACCCCTCTGCAGTCAGCAGTACGACTTCGCCCTCAGACCTTGAGTAGCTGCTTTTAGTCTCATCGTTCTCCAATCGACCTGCCTGGCATGGTAGGACCTGCAGGAACATATGTTCCAGCCAGTATAGCTGGGCTGGATCACCACGATAGGCAAGCCCGACCACCACATCAAGGTAGCAGCCACGGTCGGGGAGTCATGTTGGTGGATTTTGGCTACCTGGTTGGGGTCCGCGAGATGATATTAACTGATGGTTAGAGACCTTAAACGACGCGGCTCAAAATTGTTTGCAATGGTGCATGTGCAACCATTCATTGTGTTCTATGAAATTCTGATCTTCCGAATTCTTCACCTCTAGCTTCTTTCTTTTGAACTTATCTCACTGAATTATACTTCTCGATTCATGTCTTCGAACCATAATCTTCTCTGTTAGTGCTAATATTTCTAGTATCTGTACGATTATGGGATTTGAACTGATACTTGCGTCTCTGTTTGGCAACTTGAACTCATGCACTCATGTACGACGTTCTAGGCTGTAACTGACTGACTGACTAATAACCAATAAATTTGTCGGAAATCCAGTTTCATTAACTCTACCTAGTATCCAATGCTTAACCTCTGCATGTAGTAACACTTTCCTTATATACTGCAAACATTGAACGGTAAAACCACCACATCTCATAGCCACTAACTGAAGTACTATTTATTGTATACTAGTATTCGTTAGTTACTTGCTACTCATATTGCCTACATTTACATTTTTTTATGTAGATAAATATTATTGATCAGATTTTATCATTCAGCGTCTAGCAAACGATGTCTGTTTTTGACCGTTTTCGAGATATTGAACCTGATATCATCCGCAATTGCATAGTATCGATGATTGCAGGAGTTTTGTTTGCATTAGGCTGGTGGATAGCAATTGACGCAGCCGTGCTTTTTGCTGAAAACTTACCCAATGCGTATCATACAGCAGGCGTATTCAGCACTATTGCTTTTATATTAATTAACAGTGTTCCTAATGGAGTGGTAGGTTTTAACCATTGGAAATTATTTCTTGTTTCTTGACGTAACTTCTATCGTTTAAATAATTTGAAGGCTTACTTATGATAGCGTTTGCACAACACATTGAGTCACTCTTTAGATCGTAATTTATTTACCGAATGCAAGTGTATGTACTCCGCTCTGAGATAGACCCCGTGTATGAAGATTAGTGATTATATGTGTACTTTATCTCTATTTATTGACATAAAAAACACAAAAATTGGTACAAATAAACACCAAAGTATATATACGCCACACAACAAAAGAGGTTGTGAAGAGGTAGATAAGGTTAAGTACAATAAAAAAGAGAACAAAAATGAATTGAAATTAATGATGAAAGTGAAATAGTAGTCAGAGAAACAGTTTAGTTAAGGAAAACACAACCAAAAACGATTCCTCCAATTAAAGTAAAATAAAATTACATCAGGACCGCCATTGACTTCTTTTTTGAGTCATATATGATACTGTCTCAATCTCTAATGATAAAACCAGGGAGTCACGAAAGTTCAAAATGCTAGGCATGTAGAGCTTCTTTTCGTATCACAACACAGTCATACATTGACCACCTATTCACCTTTTCCAACCAGTCCCACCGTTTACAGACAATGCATGATGTGTAATTCGCCGGTACGACATTCCTAGTATATGTCTAAGCCATCAAAGTCGGTGTTTCAAGACGGTAATACCAGCCGAATTGTCGTCACTGAGCTTAAACACATGTTGCCGAACCTTCGCATCACTAACATGATGTTGCCCCTGAACGTCAGTAATCCTTCAGAGACAACGATGATCAGACAGAAAATCGCTTAGTATCTTCAGTTCGGAGAGGCCAGTTTTTATAAGCACAGAACAAAACTGACGCGTCGTAGATTTGATCTTTTACAACCAGGTTAATATCAAGCAAGCACTTAAGATGATGCAGATTAATATAATCCGCCCTGATCTTCGCTATACGTGAATTAATCTCACCACTAACACTACCATCAACACCCAGGTACACTAACTTTTCGACTACCAACAGTAAGTGCACGTCCAGGGTCCCATCAATCCTGTAAAAGTGCCTTGAACTTCGATGCAAAGCATACGCCATACTTACGGACACTGCCAACTGATTAAGTGAGGATTGCTTGGTTCAGGTATCATCGCATCATGGTGAGATCATATCATACGCACACCTAAGGTCCTTCTCCAGGTAAAATATATAATGATAATCATCATCATCAACAGCAACGTAGAACTTTGCACGTAGGTACAGTAGTTCAAGTTGCCATACCACATTATCACAAAGATATAATTGTCAATTCAAATCGCATAGTAGTAGAGGTAGTAAAAGTATTAGAAGTAATCGGAGAGATTGGGGTTCGAAGATGTTATTCAAGAAGTATGATCCAGTGAGGTAGATTTAGAAAGAGAAAGACAAAGGTGATGAATTCAGAAGGTCGGAATTTCATTAAACACAAAGCGTAAATAAACCTGCGCCATTGCAAACGGTTTTGAGCCATGTCATTCACGGTCTCTAACCATCGATTATTATCATCTCGCGGACCCCAAGCGGGTAGTCCATTCCCACCGACATGACTCAGTTCACTTGCCAGTGACTTCATGGATTTGTGTCACGTTTCGGTTTGACCGCCCCTAGGTCTCATCCAACCTACTACTGCACCACAAAACATGGCTCGTCGAGGCAATCGGTGGTTGGGCATACGCAACACATGTCCCAACCACCTCAACTGATGAAGTGTCAATACTTCGTCAATTGATCTACCATCCTTACCTAGTACTCGCTTCCTAATAACAGCGTTGCTCACTTGGGTGTCCCAGGATACACGAGCAATGCTTCTAAGACATCTATGATCGAAAACCAGTACCCTACGAATATCTTCTACTCTGACTGGCCATGTTTCACAGCCATAAAGCAAGACGGAGCGAACTGCCGCAAAGTAGACTCGACCTTTGATTAGCAAACGGGTATCTCGCCTGCACCACAGGTCACGCAACTTGGCAAAAGCCAATCGATCTTTCTGTATCAGTGCTGAGATTTTGTCAGTCACCAGGCCATCAGCACTGATGAGACTCCTGAGATAAGTGAAGTGGTCTACATGTTCGACCAATTCACTCCCTATCACTAGTTCAGGTGCCGATGCAACCCAGTCTTGAAGCAACATTTCGCATTTCGAGGGGAAAACCGCATCCCGAACATGCTTGCATTGTTGCTTAGGGTGGCCAGAAGACTATGCATTTTGTCAGCGTCTTCACCAAGTAGGACTATGTCATCGGCATATTCTAAGTCCATAAGCGAGCCACCTGGTAGAAGGTCTACTCCTGAAAATTCAGACAATGATAAGGTTATTTCGAAGAGCATGTCTGTGATAAAATTAAACAAGAATGGAGAAAGTGGACATCCCTGACGGACACCACTTGAAGTAAAGAATCCCGTTGACAGTTCGCCATAAGCTCTCACTCGACCAGTGGTGTTCGAGTAAAGGGCTTGTATAAGGTTAATGTACTTCTTCGGTACACCTTTCAATGACAGACACTGCCACAGAACCTCACGATCCACTGAGTCGAATGCCGCCTTAAGGTCCAGGAACACAACTATTGTAGGACGCCTAAATGTGTGTCTGTGTTCCAGGACCTGTCGTAGTGTGAATATCTGGTCTATACAGCCACGTCCAGGTCTGAAACTAGCCTGGTTTTCTCTAGTTTGCGCTTCACGCGGCTAATAACTTAGAAACTATATTACTTAGACTGATTAGTCTGTGGACTTCTCCTTTTTTCTAAATTGGGGCAATCAATGATTGAGATCAGTCGGATGGGATTACGTCCAGTTCCTAGATTCTACCTAATATCTCAGTCAACCTAGCTGCTAAAACTGGACCACCACCCTTAAAAATCCCAGAGGTCAATCTTTCTGGACCCGCAGCTCTCCCTTGCCCCAGATGTCTTATCACTTTCTCAACTTCATAAAAATTCGTAGGACTCATGTCGGTTACCCATTCAGGGTGACTGGAGATCGTGGATAACGGAAGTGTGGCTGAAGGCCAGTTGAACTGATCCCTGAAGTGTTTTGCACACCGATCCAACCTCCTGGATTGAGGATGAATATTAGTTCCATCTTTTTCCGAAATAGTCTCACATTCTGGACCCTAACACCGGTTTCCCTGATAAGTCTGAATAGTTGCCTTCTGTTTCCTATTGTGATCGCCTTTTCCATCTCCCTTGCTTTCGCTACCTACTACTGGTCGCGGTCGTTGCAAAGGCTTTTATCAGCCTGCGCCTGAGCTGACTCCGCTCCTCATCGAGCTTTCGGGCATCCGTCAGTTCGGTAGGTGCTACTGAAATCCACGGCTTCATTCTCACCTTATGGTTTACCTTACTAGAGGGTATCACTGCTATTTCCACAGCCTTGGATATCATTCCGAACTGCATCAGGGTGGGCATCACTTACTACATGGCTGCTTAACTGTTTTTCTTGTTGTTCCTGAAATATATTCTTAGATTTATTATCGTTGAGTAGAGGCCTAACAGGTTTCCTTGCGATACTTTTCCTACGTCCATTGAGACGTAAACAAATACGCGCTCTTACTAGAGCATGGTCTGAGTCTAAACAAGTGCTCCAGAATAAGCGGCAGTCTTCAATAGAGCCTTTCCACCGATGGCTTATAGCGATGTGATCTAGTTGGGTCCATCATTGGATCGGCTTTAAGGGTCGCCAGATCAAGAGATGTTTATCCTTTTGCTTAAAGTTAGTGTTTGCTAGAAATAGGAGGTTATCTGAGCGTAGTTGCAGCAGACGGTCGCCATTATCTGTTCTATTAGCTGCGACACCATAAGATTAATCAGCCACTATTACTATATCAGAGTGCCTAGCGTTTTGCAGGAGGTCCGAAAGCTTTCTTTAAAACTCGTCTTTCACCTCGTCTGAACTGCAGTCAGTGGGGGCATAGGCAGATACGACTCCTTACTGTCCCGTTTAGTCGGACAGCGCACAAGCGACTATCTACTGGGATCCAGTCTAGGAGAGATAATTCTGCCCTAGGACTCAACGCTATGCCTACGCCAGCAAGACCCCTGGAAGCAGCATCAGGGCTACCGGATACACGAAGAGTGAATCGAGTGATTTCGACCAGATTGGTCTCTCGTGCTGTTACGGGTATGAGGGCGGTTGTCACTTCCCGGGTGCCCACACCGTGGAAGTTTGTTTCTTGAGGGACCTGAAAAGGAAGATAGATTAGTGTTGGTCTTGGAGACCTGGGAGCGTGACTGCAGAGTCCAAGGGACAACTGCTCGAGGCCGGTCACGCACGGCCTTTTTATGAAAGGATTTTTGAGTATTAGCTCCGCTCTTAAAAGCCCTTAGTGGGCACCCTTACCGCCGGAGACGGAAATCCATGAGGTAGGGGAGGTGTGACAGTTTTAGGGTCGACCTTTTCTAACCCTTCCTTCCTTGTGAGAAGGCAGCATCGCTGCAGATGCTGGTTGTCCGAGGGAAACACCTTACTGCTGTCACACCCCTCTGCAGTCAGCAGTACGACTTCGCCCTCAGACCTTGAGTAGCTGCTTTTAGTCTCATCGTTCTCCAATCGACCTGCCTGGCATGGTAGGACCTGCAGGAACATATGTTCCAGCCAGTATAGCTCGGTTGGATCACCACGATAGGCAAGCCCGACCACCACATCAAGGTAGCAGCCACGGTCGGGAACTCTTGTTAATGATAGGGATAGTTGTCTGCTCATTTCACGATGTTGGAACACTCATTACTGAGTGCTTGTAAACAACTGTCAGTCTCATAGTCAGGTCGCCACCATCTTTAAAAAGGCTCGGGGATAAATCATCGGAGCCTGTTGTCTTGTGTCGGTCATAGAGGATATCACAGTCTAATCAGTGTTGCCAAGCTGAAGGTCAGCTTGCCTTTTCTTCGTCCAATACGACGGTTAATGCTATTGACTGATGCCCAGTCAGCCTCATCGATTATTTCATCCACAT